ACTAATGTTATTGTTATCATTGAACTAATTCTGTTCTGTGTTTATATTGTTGCATAATAATGATTTGGTGTGCAAGGCCGAGAGCCTCACCCTTGTAGTAGGTGCGTCACTAGGGGAGGGGTATGATTGGGGAGCCACTGTACCTTGGCATGCAGATTGCTTTGGCTACTTAGGCTTGCCCTTTAATGTTCTACATTAAATTACTACTAGTAATTTCAATTTTCACTTTATTATTTTTGAAATCCTAAGGTTAAGTAAAGTTAAAAAATACACACTGTTCCTGAAGAACAACTGCGGTCATTAAATCTATATGTGGATGTACATGTTGTACATGTACATGTGTATATAAGATGTATTGTACTGGTACATTTAAAATACAATTAATGGCGGCTGATGATCCTAGATGTTGTGGCTGTAACAAAAGAGGTCGTTGTACATTGTATATCTTGTAGACTTGTACCTGTGTAAAGGTTGGAAAACAATGCTCTAATTGTATTCCACCAATGGAAGATCACTGCAATAACCAAAGGTTATTTATTGAAAAAGGAATCTCTTTAGAGTTCCTATAGGAAAGACTGGTGATACCGTTGTCAGTGAGCTGGCCAATTTTTAATGCCTATTCTACCTCAATATGCTGCAAATAGTGATGCCTCATCTACTCCTTCAGAGACCTACTGGTAGCATAAAGAGGTCACTAAACACGTCTTTCCTTATGAAAGAATTGTGATTTTTGTCTCACTTCTAAGTGAAGGTAGATCTGATCAATACAATCTCACCTCAAGTCCCATCGCTCATCATCTAGTTTATCTGATAACCTATACATGTAACACGTAAAGTCAGTAATCTTGTCTTGTGAGAGATGTTAAAGGTGTTATACGTCTTCTCTCTAATGATGAAAATAGTAGGGTGCTTTCGCTATAGACTCCCTCATAAATGGCAGATCTGTTTAAGAGATTCTACTGGACAAACGCCCTCCCAGTCAGCCCATTTCTCCATCTGCACTATACTCAGGTCCTTCCCACAAACTGAAGTGGTTTGTAGGATAGTTGGCAGGCAATCTTATTATCAATAAAGGCCTTTTCACACTGGCCAAAGTAATGCGCATTGATGGGCATTAATCGTGTTCACACTACAGTGGTTTTCAATTAATGGGCATTGATGCACATCACTCTCACTTCACCTCCAGAGGTGAATTGATGTGAAGTGATGTGCTTAGATCAATGTAAACCAATGGCAACAAGAACACAAAATGATACATAACTCAGCTGCTAGTGTGAACATGTTCCATGGGCATTATTTCAGCTGTATCAACAAAGCGCATCAAAGGCTTTGAAAACTGTGCCAGTGTGAAAAGGTGTTAATACAAGATGATATACTCAAAGATTGCTGGTATTGATCAACTGTACGTGCTGGTCAACCAGGAAGCTATGAGGAAGCAGTTTATGGTGTGAGGAGTATATCTCAGTCAGTTGAGTGTGAAGTAGTTCTCTTTGCTGATGCTTCTAATGCATTCAACTTACTTAACCATAAACTAGCTCTTATTAATATACAGATAATCTATCCACCTCTGGCTACAATTCTAATTGCAATCATCTTGACGTTCCTCTGCACATTGATGGTGAGATTTTGTACTCTGCTGAGGGCACGACTTCAGGAGATCCTTTAGTAATGGTGATGTACACCATTGCCATCCTCCCTCTGATTTGTCACCTCAATACTTTCTCTGTATGTCAAGTTCGGTATGCAGATGATGCTGCAGCACTGGGTAAACACAGCACTTACATCTGTGGTGGAAGGAACTCATGACTGTTGGTAATGATTATGGTTACTTTGCCAGTTCATCCAAAACCAGGTTACTTGTCAAACCTAATCTCCTCGTACCTGCAAAATCACTATTTGCAGATACTAACATCACCTCTAATGGGTGCAGATACCTTGGTAGCCCCATTGGATCTAATGAATTTCTTAGTCAATACAATCTCAATACAATTAGTGAGTAGGTTAACCAACTAGAAAAACTAGAAACCATTGCTCATGCTGCATATTCTGTTCTCAATCATGGCTCTCTCAGTAAGTTCACATACCTTCTTAGAACTACACCTATTATCTCTACATTGGTTGAACCGTTAAAGAAGATGATTCGCTGTATAGCTAATTTGAACTCTATCACGTCAAGCTTGTGTTAATGATATAACCAGATCCATTCTCTCTCTTGGTGGTCTTGGTATTAAGGATATCGTTTGTCTAAGATGCTGACGAACTCTTTAAAATTAGGGCTATTGACTAGGCTTAGTGGTAACATGTCATTACAAATTAAGGTAAGTAGAGAGTCCTCACATGTATTAAAACGAGGGGATGTCCTTGGGTATGGTTGAGTATTGGCCACATATGAGGTAAGTGTAGTCCGACTATCTTTACTAGAGCCTGTCGTAGCTGGAGCTATTGTTCTGTAGTCCTCTTCATGGCACGTACACATATGGTACAATAGATTCGTCATATTTCCACAATAAGCTAGTTGGGCCTTACAAATTCGACAAAAAACTTCTTTCCGGATAATCAGCCTTCCCTTTTCATCCTGCTTGAACCCGAAGTATTTCCAGACCTTGCTCTTCACTCCAGGTCAAGGTAAGGGCTTCCTTTCTTCACTACTGCCAGCCTCATACTCCGCCATTTTAATTTTTGTCTCGCGCATGCACAAAGGTGAGACCACATGTCATTAATTGATTATAAAATATTATTAATCGTGACAAAAAATACAAGTTATCATGAGCGATATATTGCTATATTGATTATATTAAACATCTTTACAACTCTCCAAGCATTATCTGGAGAAAAGTTTTCGCGCCAGTCTGCCATCACAGACAATAATGCCAGGCCTGACAATGCTGTGTCCAGTTTCTGGTCATCAAGGCAATGTTCCTTTCTAAATGTACAAGTCTTTAATCCTTTCTCACACATCTATAACAAATCTTCAATTAAAGCCTACCATAGGAAAACAAGAAGGATAAAAGACATCAATAAATTATGGTGAAAGGATGTGTAATGTTGAGCATGTCTCTTTTACACCATTATAGTCTTTACCACTGTAGGAGGAATGGGTCCATCGGCCTCTACTTTCTATAAACATCTTTCATCCAGACCCTCTATCCATTACTCCAAATCCTGCTCTGCCATACTTAACTAGATTCATTGCCGTCTTTCGTTCTCTCTTTTTAGGAGCTCTATCTTGTGTCTCAGAGATGAACGCTCCTTTTACCATCATCCCTGCCATTCCTTCTGTTCTCATGAGCAAACTTTCTCAGATGAGACGGTTTATAAGTTGTGACTAATAATTATTTCCTAACTCAGATGAACATACATGTACATGTAAGTACAGTACATACATGTGTATCAAAAAAAGCTAAGTCGCTACCCCACAGTTACTCTACTTTTGCGTAGGTACTGTAGTTTGCTGCTCCTTAACTGCGCATGCTTACTGCGACAGTAGCAGGACAGTAGCAGGACAGTAGCAGGACAGTAGCAGGACAGTATCAGGACAGTAGAAGACAGTAGTGTGACAGTAGAAAGAAGCAAAAAAATCCTAAACAGCTTCTAGAAGGAGAGAGTGGCATTAGAGATGAACTTGAAAAGCACAGACAGCCAAAAGAAGCATCCACAAGTTCTACTACAGTACATGTGACTGGTTGGGATTGCAGCATAATGCAGCAAAGAGTAACGGAGTAGCCAAGTAGTAGCAAAGTACCTATACAAACTACACTGTACATGTACCTTCAAGGTTCCTTCTCTACTGTACCCTACTTAGCCTTTTTCTATGTGTACTGTACATGTACAGTACATGTATAAACTGTATTAATATTATTATTATTATTATTGACATGTACATACATGCATACATGTACATGTACATGTGTATATAAGATGCATTGTAATGTACATGTATGTGTAGATGCACGTGTACATGTATATAAGATGTCCATGGGCATGTGTATATAACATGTATTGTACATGTACATGTATACAATTTACAGTTTTTGCTAGTTGTAGCTCTTCCCCCTCCACTGATTTCACAGATATTACATCAGACACATTATCAGGATCAGTAACCAAATTTGCCACACCCCCAAACAAGCTTCTATTAATAAAAATAATAATAATAATAATACTGCATACACCATATACCATATATCAGGTATATTTCAATGCATTAATAATTTCGGGAAAAGCAATTCATTGCGGAAAAACTTATGAAATTTTAAAATATGCTGATAAAAAGGAATAGAAGATATGTCTTATTGTGCAATTAACAAGAACACATGGCTTTATAACTATCCATGGCTTCATGGCTTCTAACTCGAAGGCCATAAAAAGCCTTCTTTGCCAGTTAGAAGTGTTGCTAAGGTTGATTCAGAAGTGGAGAAGTCAGCAAATGCTTCTATTTTCTTCAGGGCCGTAGCAAGCGGTACAGCTGGTACAGCCAGAACCATACCACTTTTTAGCCCAAAAAAGGGCGTGGCAAGGAGGCAGGGCTTGATTAATGGGTGTTGTTTTTTATTTTTAACAATTTTTTATTTTTAGAAAATATTGCTATTGTAATTAAATGAATAACTACTAAATTGGAGGCAATTAACAGCTGAAAATGACTAATTCTTGTACTAGAGCTGCTGCTTTTCAATCTGAGATGATTCTTCCACCAGCTCCTCACCAACTGTGAAGTAGGAATATCAACAAATGCTTATAATAAGTTGTTTTCTTTGTTGCCACACCAACACCTTGACACACCCACATCTTGGCCTGACCACTTTCGAGGTGCTTACTACAGGTCTGATTTTCTTAACAGACCAGGTGGCTCATGGAAATAATAGCAAGTAAAATATTTTCAGAATATAAAGAACTTCAGAATTTTTCCATCATTGAACTTTATATTTATACCACTTTTCATGCATTGAAATATACCCAATATACGGTAATTCATGGGCATAAAAATTTGCAATTTGGCTGCATTTTTTGTATTTGCAAAAAAAATTCATTATAATGTAATTACCACACCTACTATACAATCAGCGAGCTATTTTACAGATTTTAATTTTGTGAATTTTCCAAAACACAAAAATCGCAAAAAAAAAAAAATTTAATCTGCACAAAATACATGTATATGGCGTATACAGCACTAATAAAAATATACATACAATAAATGTACATGTACATTCTAGATAGTAGATATAATACACAATATGCGCACGTAATACATGTACAGTATATGTACATTATCATTGAAACGGATAGTCAGTAAATTAAATGCAAAATAACACATACATGTAATGGGTACATGAATTAGTATTACATGTACATTGTGTACATGCTGACAAAAACTCACCCCAGATATGGACCAATCAGATTAGGTGAGAGTGAGTTGCTAAGCAATGACAGGAGAGCATCATCAGGTATAAAATAAAGACGATTAAAGCATTGTCTCTTCTTGGACAAATAAGATGATAAAGACATTTTACATTTTTCAAGGTCCTCTTTTAGTTTTATTAATACAGGAAGAATAGGATACTCACTGGTAATGCAACACTACAAAGGAGATACAAAATGGAGCATTTAATGAATAAACATGCATTTATGACTAATACATGTACATGTACTGCACATGCATTGTATACATGCATGTACCTGTACCTTCCTGCACTGTACATTTTAGTTGTAAATAATGTATAAAATGTCCATGAAATTTACCTGTATACAGTTTTTAAGCGAACTAGTCTGATACATCATTGATGTCCATACTTCAGTTATGTTACTAAATGATACTGACTCATTTGGAAAATCCTGTTATAATAATAACAACAAAATAATACAACCTGGCATATCAAAATATGCATATGTACACTACAGTACATGTATAAAAGTCCATATCATTCATTCCTTATACATGTACATAAAACATCAATGTTTCGGAACACATATATGTACATAATGTTATATGACATAAATGTCATGTACATGCAATATGTACATGTATAAATACATATACATGTATATGTACACATGTACTTACTTCTGATGCTATTTTACTATTAAATACAGGTTGTAAACTAAGCCACAACTCCTGTACAGTGAGCCACAGTTGCAATATTTCAGTGATGGTAGCAAGTTTACCAGCCCATTGTGCAGTCTCATTCCTCAGTGGATGTATGTGTGGCGATGAGAGCATTAACACAAGTGTTGTCTGAGTGGTCTCTAGATGTTCTAATAAACATAAGGAGGCTGACGTAGAGAGGAGAGGAAGGGAACTTGATGATTGTATTTCAAACTGGAAACACTATAAAATAAATAAATAACATATAGAATGATGATGCTGATTTTTATTATTGACACATTGCTGCAAAAGCTATTTTACTTGTTCACTCCATTCTTCTTCAATTGACAAAAAATCTTGTTCCAGTTCTTGTTCTCTTCTAGCATTATCAATAATACAACCAATATCAATAGAAAAACTGCAACAAAACAGAAGGAAATAGAAATATATTCCCCATTTATTAATAGTTGTTGAGTCTCTTACCGTAACAAATCAGCTTCTAGTAAATGATCAAGTTTGAATAATCTGGCTTCAAGTGGAAAATTATGACCAGTGACTGACATAATTTGCAACCAATGCCTACTTCTTATTTGCTAATTAAAAAAAGGTACAGGTAGGGACATGGATGTGATTACATAATGCATTTACAAAAAAATGTAGTAAAATCTGCATGGATATCTACATGTACAGTACATGTACATTTACTACAAGTACATGTACAATGTACATGTACTGTACACGTAAAATTACTGAAATCTGCATGTACTGTACACATACTTTATTGTGGAGTTTATTCAGCAATGGCAATATTTGTCTGTAATGTGTAATCCCTTGACTTAGTTTATGAGATGCCTCCCAGTCTTGTTGTTCTTGTGGTAATGAACAGAATGCATTCCAAAACAGGTCAGTCTAAAAATGAATAAAAAATAATATGCATGCAGGCTTTGGTGGTTCATGCCAGCATAATTTTTCAATCATTAATTTTAAAACCCAAGGCACTGAATAATTTCATGTACATGTAAGCATAATACCATATAGCCAAATAATTTGATGGAGAATTAAATTTGGCGGATTGGCAAATTCAAAATAAAACCGCCAATATTATAATCGCCAAAAATAATTGCAATTATTATGGGCGGGTTCATTATACTAAAAAATGGCAGTATTTCTGACTAATTCAGTAACAAAGTCAAGACTCAAGACTATGGGCATGCAAGGACTGCCAAGGAGCAGCTTCAAGAAGAGCTGAGTGTGCTTAAAGAAAAGACAAGATAGTAAACCGCCAAATTAAGTGACCGCCAATATTATATTTAGGTAGTTTTGATGCAAAACCACCAAAGTTTTAGACCGCCAAATTTTCCGGCTATACGGTAATAATAATACAGAACTCCTGACATTCTAGTACACTGTATATGCAATAGCCAGACACTGATATTCAATAGATCATGCAACTGACTGTTCTGAATATGCCGTATAAAGAAGAAGACAAAAAAGTTCACATTCCACACAAACGAAACAAATACGAAGCAACTTAAATTATAATACCACAAGTATCAGATCTTGATTTAGAATCAGCGACACCTGATGCTCCAGCAACTTCAACTACTCCCTCCTGTGATTAGTATAATATTCTTACCAGAAGATGACACTCATGAGAGGGGGCTTCTACTATATACAGCAGCAACTAATAAATGAGCAAACTGGCTCAAATAGAACTGAGAACAAACCAACACAAAGTAAAAATGATTTACCACAAACCACACCTACTCTTGCACATAACTACGCACTAAATTTGCTATCGTTTCATTGGAGTTTTGTAAAACGATACAAGAAAGAAATCGGTACGAACGGTTTCATTGCAACATCATTCTACAGTGCTAAAACGTGAACTTAATTTTGTCTTCAACTGTAAGTACATGCACTGCTGTCCAGAAGGCTAGGATTAAAAATGGTTAAATTCATTAATTGGCATAATGGAAACACAGAGACTATTAATTAGTAGAGCATAATAGCTTTTTCTATACATGTAACAACATACATGTACATGCACATGTACAATGTAAAGAGCATTAAAGAGTATACAATCTGTCAGAACTCATGCTAGTGTACCTCATTCATTGCTAGCGTAAGGTCAACTTCACACCAAAGAATTTGCCTAAATTCTTCATCAAAGAGGATAAAATCTTGATAATTACTGTATAAAGTTTTCAAATATGACAACTCCTAAATAAATGTAAATAGTCAATAAAATGTGCATGCACATTGTATGAGTGTGCATTGTACAGTACCTCTTGGGTATGTTCCAGTTCAGGATATGGTGACAGTGGTATGTTCAATAATTTCTGAACAGCATCTAAGAGATCTCTCTTCCTTTGTAACTCTTCACATTTCTCTATAAAAAAACCTAATGAGAAAGACAGATGAAAAAAATGGGAAAAAATCAAAAATACTATACATGCAATCATGTACATACATGTATGCATGCAAGTGCAACATGTACATCTACTTGTAGATCTTTCCGCTTTCTACATTGTATCTCCCTCTCTCTATTTCATTATTGCAAGAGCATGACAACTGCATGATGTTTTCAGACATCAGTAGAAAGACGTAAAGTTTAGTGAGCATTTAGTGATGCTGTACATGTTTACATGACTAAAGCTACATGTACATGTACATGTAGATAGGCAAAATCTTAAAGTACAATGTACACAAATATATACATTGTACATATACATGTACATGCATGTATACTATGTCCCAACTGAGAATGGACCCGAAGTGGAAGCAGCTGCATGAGAATTTGAAAAATGTAGTTACGTCACTAATGATATTTATAGAGACATGGCAGCTATTTTGGCTGTGTTGTTTCACTCTTAAAAGTTAAAACAGTCTCGCTTTTCCTGATAACCAGTACAATAGCTACTGGAGTCCACTAGTCTTCATAAAGGCCATCATTATCAGAAGATCTAGGTCTATAGTCATACCTCTCTAAAACGAACCCCCAATTAGCAGACACCTCGCTATAATGTACAGTTGCTCTTGTCCCCGCCATAAAGCCATTGGGTAGTGTACATATAAAAAAACCTCTGTATAGCGGAACCTCTCTATTTTGTATAACGGACGAGATTTACTGTCCCCACACATCTACATGTGTACAAATTAACCTCCAACGGACGAACACGGCCCATGCAACAGACTTTCTAATTAACATGCATCTAGAAAATGGCAAATTTTCTGGTCTGATTAGCATGGGATAACCTTCGATTTGAGGACACCTCCGTACAAAGGACAGAGATAGCTGGCCTATAGGTGTCCATCTTAGAGAGGTTTGACTGTATTAGCATTTTAAAAGAAGAATTATCAGTTAGGGCACTCTAACACGTGCTTATGTAAACTATGACATCATAGACCATCATTGCGCTTAGCTTTGCTATGCCATTGGGTTTATAGGAAGAACCCAGTTCTCAGGGTTCCCAAGGGCTGAGAGACACAAGACCAGAGATCCTGAAGCGGCATTGGGTGAATAAGGACCTGTGAAAGTCTCATCCTCATCCCACATTCCTATAAAAAGTTATTCCAGTTTTTCTTGGCCCAAACTCAGTTGGGACATACATGTACATGAAGTATATACACACATATATAAAAACTATATTCCATTCCTCCCCTGACTCTCTTACCAACTCTTGACACAGCTTCAGTAGGCGTCAATCCCGGGACCAGTGGTCCCTCAGTATCAAAGGTATTACGATATTGAATTGTTTGAACAACAAACTCTTTAACTTGTTTTACAGTTTCTTGGATGTGTATCAATCTCTGATCAACTAATAACAGATTTTTTACCTGCACATCATTATAGAAAGAAAGCATTAATAAAGACAGAATTAATGCCAAATCTGATTGTAATATAAATTAATTAATTCATTATTACACATATCTTCACAGGTATACAGGTAAGGCATATGATAAGGTAATACATGTGATGAATAGTAGAATAAAATAAAAGCTAAGTATTGTAGCGATATATACAGTACATGTGTAAACTACTTTCGCATAGGTACATGTAGTAGTGCATTGCTCTTTTATACATAATAACTATAAGAAGTGCACATGGCCTACAGCTCAATGGTAGAAAGGAGCATTAATTATTGCTCCATTCTACGATTGAGTGCACTTAAAAAGAACAAAACAGTATACAGACTACCCAGACAGCCAAAAGAAGCATCTTTAACTTTTTGACAGCCTTCTGAATGCATGAGCACTCAATATTATAGTCATGTGACTAGGTAAAGCCACAGTGCTCTTTGGATGTAATGCAGCAAAGTAAAATGTCTCACTGTACATGTGTACAAAAAAAATTCTCTTAGCTGCAGTGCACTAGCTACATGCAGCCATATACAGTATACATGAACTATACCATCAAACAGGAAATTTTGGAGAAAATCAAATTAGGCTAATTGGCATTTTGATAGGCATTTGTCAAATTAAAAGTCTCCATTTTGAGCCATACGCATGCTCAATGGCACGTGGCCACTAATTCTCCAAATTAAGACTCGCCATTCACCAAATTTAACTCCCTCCAAAATTTCCTGCTGTACAGTATATACATGTACATGTACATGTAGTGTATGCTTACTCTATTGGCAGCGTCACTAAGATCATTCCATCTTGTCCTCAAACCATGAACTTCTTCCGATTCTTTCCTCTCCAATGTGATGCCAAACTCTCTATAAACAAAATACATGTATCATAATTGTACATGTACAAGTACACACGCATATAATTTTTAGGCATTACCGTATAGTGTATAAGTTTTTGTGGCCCAAAATTTTTGCTAAATCTGCAGATTTGGAACAATTGAAGAAATGTAATCCTCAAAATTTTGGTACACAACTTATTGGCCTATTTAAAGTCAAAAGGCATGGTGAATTGGCAAAAAAGTCTACAAAAGCCATTTAATGACAATTTGCAAATATTTGGGCCACAGATACATGTATTTCTAGCTATACAGCATTTTTTTTGATCATACATGCATGTACATGTACATGTACATGTATATAGTGTGCATTCATCATTGCAGCATGTAAATGTACGCATGGACTTACATGTAGTTAAAATTTAGTGTAATTTAAATTAAATATAAGTTTTTGTATAGCTGGCTCTTTTCTTTTATCCCTTCTCTCTCTTCCTCTCCCTCTCTCTTCCTCTCCCTCTCTCTCCCTCTCATCCGCCTCCCTGTGCCTCTCCCTCTCTCTCACCCGTTCTCTATCTCCTTTCTCCATTCCTCTATCTCCTTTCTCCATCACTCTTCCTCCTCCCTAACTCCTTTTCCATATACCCTCTTCACATACTTCAATTGTAAGTACATTTCTTCAACAGGTAAATATTGATCATCAATGGAATGCTGTAAATCATCCATATGTTCTAACAACTCCAATACTTCACGTAAAAAGGTAAGATCCCCAGTACACACCTCTGAGGTAAGTACTTGAGACATTGTGACCTGTTGCTCTACTAGAGTTTTTAAAGCAGTCCTTGCCATTAAGTGTAGGTGTGTGGAGAACTGTGTCTTCCAGTTTGATGACAGAGACCTTAAAGTTGATTTAAGAGGAGTTGTAATGAGATGTACCGGACCAAATATTAGTGACACTGGAATACATAATATCTAATGAAAATATCAATATCAACTTTGCCACATGTACATAAACATATAGCAGGTAAAACACATGCATACACAATAAAAATTGATATCTTGATATCATCATGTACATGCACGCGTGTATGTACATATGCAATTAAAATTTTAATTATTGTAATTTATTACTTCATTTTCTATTTCCACTAACTGCAATACTTTAAATTTCCAATCACATGGATGTGGCTTTGTACGCTGAAACTTAATGTGAGCAGAAACCAAATCTTCCTTCCAAAGATGATCAAATTTTTTTAAAGAATCAGTGAAATATGACACTTGCGGGACTAGAGCTATGTAGAGAGAGAAATATATGCATAAGGGAAAATTTACAATGTACAGTGCACATGTACATGTACCAGATATAAAATGCATGTAAACACATACAGTACATACATGTATCAAAAAAAGGCTAAGTAGCTACCCCACAGTTACTCTACTTTTGCATAGGTAGTTTGTTGCTCCTTCTCTGCGCATGCTTACTGCAACAGTAGCAGGACATTAGAAGACAGTAGCGTGACAGTAGAATGGAGCAAAAAACATCCTAAACGGCTTCAGTATATACAGTGTGGGACACACGTACATGTACATGCTTGTTCATTAATACATAAATTAATACATGTACAATGTACATGCAGTGCATAATGTACATGTACATGCACGTAAATTTCACATGTCTTTACAAAAGATATGGTAATACATACTGCCGTAACATGTTAGCATTGTTTGAAATTGACAATAATTAAAATACCTTCAAAATAACTCTTCAACTTTTGCTTAATATCATGAACAGTGTCAACAACCTTCTCCCTATTAGACTCAAGCAAACTCTCTTCTTCTTCCTCAACTTCCTCTTCTCGTCTTTCGAATCCCCACATATCCACTCCGTTAAACAGACCTGCTATCATCAATAATAGCTCTACCACAATGTCATATATATCACGTATATTAGGAACTAGAACTAGCTTTGGTATATAAAGCATTAATTCTAATTGTAACAGAATGGTATTTGAAGATGTAGTGACGCTGCTGTCTTCTCTTTTATTCTGGACTCCTCCATTCTCTTCTTCTCCTTTAATGTCAACACATACTATATCATATAGTACTTTTATTGAGTTACAGATAAGTTCACCAATAGCTACTTGCACTAGAGTGGAAAATCTGAACAACACTTTCTGCATGGCATCAGTAAATTGGGGTTCTCGTGCCTTCTTTTTATTATTGCCATTACTAGCTCCTAGTGTCTGTTTTGACGAGGCTAATTTCTTTGGCTTTTTGACTCCTCCTCTCATTAGTGATGTCGTATTATTTGCTGGTAGTACTAGTGGTATGAAATCTTTACTTTTATTCATATTATTGCTGTGATCAGATAACAATTTTTTAAGCTTAGAATGAGTTAGTTGAATTTCAGTAAATATATCAAATAACGACGTCTTGATATCTGATACTTTAATCATCATTTCGTCAATTTTAGATTCCATTTGTGACTTCATTGAATGAGAGAATTCACTAGGTACCTACATTGTACATGTATATGCACATGGATAAACATAAAGTGCAAAGAATTTTTGAATAATAAATTTTATGCTGGAATTACAATAAAGCCTCCTATATTACACAAAAACCTTTAATTAAATTTTTAAAAATTTGGCAATTCATGTGAAATTAACAAACACAAATTAAAACACAGTAGACACATACACAGTCATTTATATCCACTATCACACATTAGATAGATGAAGATTACAAGCATCTGGACACTGAGAATAATTTTGTATGATATCACAATAATAACTTATACAGACATACATGTATAATATTACATTGTGACAATTAAGGATTAATTGTCACAAGGTCGGTACCATTTTAAATTCAAGGTTTTCACAAAGTTGTGGCCATGCAGGTACGTACATTGTGTACATGTAGTGACAACCTATTAAATAATTGTAACAACTTTGTAACAAGGTTGGAACAACAATGCTGCAACTTTAATTGGTATAAAGGCTTGGTATAAATGACTACTAAGAAAGTGAAGAAGTTTTAAATTCCAAAAGTGGATAAATGGTACCAGTTTACATGCATGCAAACATGTACATGTACATGTACCTATATCAGGTAGTTTTCATAGGAGAAAATTTTCAGACAGAATAAATTCATGTATTTTATTTTCACAAAGTGGATCCTGTCCGAAAATTAATAACATAAAAAATTTTAAAGATCTTATAAAGGATCGCACAGAGCACCTCTGTTTGAGAAGCAACCATGTTTACTATCTGGACTGTCTGCCAACTGCAGTAGGAGACTAGGAGATCTGAGACACTTCAATTGGAAGAAACAAAGCAGCGCCATTTTGTGATGATAGTGCAAGTGTCTTGTGGTATCCACATGCAAAATGTACATGTATGCGTAAATAAATTAATTATCATAAATTTTAATTTCGCACAAAGCCATGCATCCAAAAATTAAATACATGTACAGACAAAAATTTCCAGATACACGGTACATGCTAACTAAGGCATTTCCATATCTAAACTTCCAATACAAGCACACATGATGTGCTTGCATAATCAAATTATGCAGAGTTACATGTAGATGCACACACGTGTACATACATGTATGTGTATGCATGTACATATTAAAGCAATAAAATATTTTAAAAACTGAAAGAAATAGTTACATGTACTAACATGTACTACAAAAAATAAAACTTACATGAACACTTACAAAAACTAAAACAATGTAAAACAACAAACTTCACCACCATTGCTATGACCATAGACATACATGTACATGTACATGTAGATATAAACAAAGACAAACACAAATACATGTACATGGTACATGCATGCACTTCATTAAACATGTAACATACAGTGTAAATGTCTGTCATTACAAACATATAACTCACCCATATTTTACTAGTAGCTAATTTAACATCAATTAAATCAGTATTAATGATGCCATCGATTAGAGGGTATATCCTGTCATTTAATATTTCATTACATTTACAAATGCTGGAGTCCAATAATCCAGTGGATACATCCAATAAGTGTAAGTAAGGATCAATGTTAAGCGAGCTCCAGCTTAATGTAGTCCATCCAGGTAAGTAAAATCTAAGATGGATATGACAATAAAAGTTCAATAATAAATGATAAAATGACACCACAACTTCCCCAAGGCAATAAAACTTTGCATTCTATTTGCAATAAATAGCTATAAAATATGATTAAAGAGTTAACATTTTGGTCACAACCATTTATCAGTATGAAAACGTTGTACAAACATTTTCAGTATTACGTGTACCTCGAGCATTCCTTTTCTGAAACTTTTGTACAAATGTATGTTGTTGACAGTTTCTTAAAAAGTTAATCTGTCTTAGATATCATCAACAAACATTAAGGCCTGATGATAAAGCAAGAAGTTAATAAGGTACATGTATAAAGCATACAAATTTTGCTATTTTGCTCAACTTATCCCCATTTTGTATAACTACAGTGCATGTATAACTACAGTAAATGTATTCGACAAAAAAGTAATGACAAGAAAAAGTGCTGTGATGAGCAGCAAAAGTGTTGTTTCTATTATTGTAATTATTACAATTGAATGTTCATTATATAGAGATGCAAACATTACATGTGCATGCATTCTTCCTGAACAACATGTAATGATTCACATGATTTTCATGCAATGAATAAATAGGGCCATTGAAAACACCTCTGCAAACAGAAAGATAAACTACATGTCTACAATACAATAATAGTACATTATTATAACAATTATATGTGTACATTAACAATTATACATGTACATAACAATTAGTACATTATTATAATAAAATATATGGTGTAATATTTACCATGTGCACATACCTCAAAACAGTGTCAATAGTTTCATCAAATAAAGGATTTAATTTATCATCAATCTTATTGAGAGTATTTCTAAATACACTGACAGCAAAATGTAAATGTTGATTGAACTGTTTAATCCTCAACTCCTGCCCCAGAAACAATTGAGCAGGTGAAGATAATGGTACAAGTAGCTGTTTCATTGCTTTGCATTCTTGTAACAACTGCAATAACCTAAGAGTGAAAAAGAAAGAAATATACATTGTAAGTGGCACTATTTCATACTACATGTACATGTACAAAAAAAGGTACAAAGAATACATGCAATAGCAAAGAGAAATTAACAGGTAAAGTACATGCATGTACAAGTATCTGTTGAGTGTTTCACTTTACTACACTGCACTGCTCCTCCTAGTCAGTATAGTCATACATGTATGTACTGTAACAATAAACATACTATAGCGACAAGTTCTAAAAGATTGGCTTGTCTGTTTAATTCATCGCTCTCTGCCCAATTAATACATTCTTCATTCCATTCTACCATCAAGCTACTGTTTGCTCCAGACAACATGATGGAGTACATGTACACATGTACTTTAATTATGTAATGTACATTAAGTTCTACAAGCATGTGCAGAGAATTTTTAAATGTGTACATGTACATGTTCATGCATGTACATGTACATGTACATGCATGTACATGTACAGGCATGCATGTACATATAATGTAATTAAAAGAGATTTTGATACAGTAAAATACTAACCCATTATCAGAGTTAACAGTGATTTCAGTGTTCTTATTACCAGTGGACTCATTATCCTCCAGTCTCAATAGTGGTGACGTCATAAGAACATTTAGTGTTTTATCCATCCTTTCTTTCAACTGCCTAATCAATATTGCCTCATACTGAATTAAGGTAGTAGCCAATATATTGTGTAAGGTACACACATGATGAGACTCCTGTAAGGGAAACAAGTACAACAAATAATATCATTACTATTATGTCACTAAACTGGTGTTTTCATTAGCATAGAATCTTCTCTAAAAACCAACATAGGTTCTTCTACTCTTTTTAACAAACCCCGAGCCCATTCGACTGCCCCCATAACTGGTGCCCTACCTCTAGGCAATGGAGGATTTCTCTAAAAATATTTGTAATAAAATTAATGTTACTTTCTATTAATTAACTCTACTTTTTGATTTTCATAACATCTTTGCAATAAGTTCAACTCATTGGAGTATTTTTTAAAAGCAATCATTAAACACTGGTGAAGTGTAGACTGCATCCTTGGCCAAGAGGATATCAAATTGAACCTGTGAAGTGTGAGAAATAAATTCATTATTAAACAGGTTGAATTATATTATCATTACCTTGAGAGTATGCTTAAGGATCTGTCAGACTCTTGAACATTATTAATAAGTGACTGTATAAAAAGAGACAGAAAGAGAGTGGGTCGATTAATTAAGAAAGAAAAGAAAAGATATGAGAGAAATATAGACAATTGAGATAACATTTTACAACAAAAGGTACATGTATGTGTGTAATATTGCATTTGGCAGCTAGCTTACACAAAAGGGCAATAATTCATACATAAACGTATAATGTATGCACATGTAGGTATACACCATTGCCATTAATATCAAGAGCAAGTGTCCATGCATATGCAATGCACATGTGCATTTAATTGACAATTTACACATGTATGTGTACATGTACAATAGTAAATAAACTTACTGTCAAATAATTACAAATATGTCCCTGCACTGTGCTCAATATTTCTTCATATCTCTTATACAATGGATCAAATACTATCTTATCTCTACCACTGACAGCAAATACTTGAATGGCACCATTAGGAGTACCGTCAACAAATAAACTCATCAATGACGACAGAACAGACTTTACTAAGTAAGCAATGCTGTCCACATCTTCACTAGAATATACCAAAGAGAAGGTAGAGAGAGAGGGAGAGGAAGAACATGTTGAATATGCATCTATCGTATCTTCTTTATCCTTCTTTTCCTCAATGGGGTTGTCCCATATTCCTTCTACTCTTGGCAGTCCAGTAAGTCTAGGCCAGAGATTCTTTAGAGTACGAACTGACTCAATAAGCTTTATTACTTGAGTACACCTCTCAGACAGATCAGAAAGGGACATCATAATATCAGATACAAGTGAGAGAGACAGGCCAGACTGTATATGAGGCATTGAGATACCGCCAATATCACTAGCTGCATGCAATGTACTATTACTAGAGCACATTAAGCTCATCTTCTTAGCTCCTCCCCTTGCCCCAGCAACCAAAGACTTGACAACAGGACGTTTACTAACCAGACCCACAGCTCCTCCTCCAGTAGTAAATGTCTGCTGAATAAGTAAAGTGTCTTTTAGATGATGCACAGTGTCTTTGTACACCCCAGCAAGATCAATAACATCTTTCAACCTCATCATAAAATCAACCAATGTGGGAGAGGCGGTGAGTGAGGCAGTTTCGACCACCTTCTCATCATTAAATATCAGGCCCCAAATGGAGTTAGGCACTCCATCAGTCTCTTGTTGCTTAATGGAATGTCTACAACTGGTGTACAGTATATCCTGGCACTTTACTGTCAACTGATTTGATACCTGCAAAAACATAATACAAATAAATACTACACATGTGTGTATAGAATGTAAATGTGAATAATACATGTACGACATGCATTTAAATTATACAAAAATTACAAGTGCATACATGCAAGTACATGTCAACGTGCATGAATGCCTTCATGTTGTTCTAGTTCTTTGGAACTAGAGCTATATCTGATGTAGTTCTAGCTTTTTTCAGCTACATGTACATGTAGTTCTAGTTCTTAGAACTAGAACTAGAACTAACTACATGTATCTAATGGGAACTAGAACTAGAACTAGAACTAATACATGAATTTATGGAGAACTAGAACTAAAACTAGAACTAAAGAAGTGACTCTAAAGGGAACTAGAACTAGAATTACTCCAAGAATCTGAAGGGAGCTAGAACTAGAACTGAAACTAATTTAAAGGAATTGAAAAAACTAAACTAGAACTAGGACTTTTGAACTGAAGCCACTTAGCTAGCAAAGACAATATCACATGATTCACACATATTGTATGCTTTTACTAGCAAAATAGACTCTAGCTAGGACAAGAACTACATGTAGACCTAAGTACTAGAACTAAAACTAGAACTATATCAGTTGCACATATAGTACTCATATTAGAACCAATACTATAGTTACAGGTTTAGTCCTAGAGCTAGAACTAGAACTATTTCAATTACAGGTTTAGTCCTTGAACTAGAACTAGAACTAATGCTAGTTACGGGTTTAGTACTGGAACTAGAACTAGAACTACATCAGTCACAGGTTTAGTACTGGAACTAGAACTAATAGGTACAGGTTTAGTATGGAACTAAAACTATAGAACTAATTTTAAAAACAATTAAGAACTAGAACAACACTACTGAGTACATGTATAGGAATTCAGGGTTGTCTGGTGTTTTTATATTGCATTTTGTACACTGTTCGTAGATGTACATGAAAACACAGTAAGTAAAATTATTACTTTCTTTAGTACAACTGCAATGTATCCAGTTTTAGCATATAATCTTGATAGTCCATCCATTTGTTTAATGACAGCTGACAGTGATGGTACCAGCTCATTGGTAAGTATTGATACTGATACTGCTGACTGTATCAAGTCCATCTGTGTCTGTATGGAAGTCAAATACCAAACTTTGTCTTTACAACCATTAAAAGCTTCTGTTAACCTATAAACAAAGAAATAAACAAAGGGATACACATGTTACACGATAATAGAGTAACAAGACACACAAGTACCATATAGCTAGAAATTTCTGTGGCCCACAATTTCTGCGAATTGCCAAAAAATGGCTTTTGCGGATTTTATTTTTGCAAATTCACTTGATCACACTACTGATCAATGGCTGCTCTTCACTACTTACCTGAACTATAGTTGATGATGACACAAAGCTCTATCAGTTTAATAGGCAAGATAGGATTACTCTTTGACTCTGCTTAAAATTGTACTGGAACAGTACGTACCGAGAACACGCCAAGCACTTTACTATAATTACACTGAGAAAAGGTGTGGTGAGCCACACCTTTTAATTTACCTATTTTTGAGGATTTTTTTGCGATTTTGTTCAAATTCGCAAAATTCGCAAAATTCGCAAAATTTGCAAAAATTTTGGGCCACAGAAATTTCTAGCCATACGGTAGTTCAGCAAGTTACATGTACACTGAACTTGCAAACCAATGGACCTTATGCACCAAAATGATTCTAATTAACGCGCACCCAAAGTGGTGGTAAAATGGCGGATTTTTGGAGGGAAAGACAGGCTAAACAATCTTCTCTTTTATTCACCCATTCTAGCTGTGGGAGCCACTTTGAGCTGTTCTTTTGTTTCAGTATACTCTATTTATCTCTTATGTAAGCTCTTTGGTTGCTGTTTTGGCTTTTATAGCATTTTGTCATAGGAATATTCTCAACCATTGGCCATTCCCGTTTTTCTAAATTTTGCTTTCAGGAGCCAGGGCGCTTGCCCCTCCATTGCTAGGAAGATAGAAGTGCATTCAGCTGAGTCCTATGACTAGTGTCTATCATCAGAGTTAGTCTCAGTCCATCAGGACAAGGTACGGTGGAATAACTCACTCAGTTGTTATTTGCAGCTGAGTGTGGATGA